TAGTCGGCGTCTACTTCAATTTAATTATGTTAAAGTGTAGGGTTTTAAATTAATTTTTTCCCTAAACATTTTATCAATTCAAATTAGTAAATATATAATGTGATATATTTCATCTATTAATTTTTTTTCTGGTTTGCTCTCTCGCTAATGATGTGCAAACTGCGCCCCTCTTTTTTTTCTTCCGTTCTCTATTTCCATTCGCACGCACGGCCATACATTTATTTATACAATTAACGTGCAGCTCTGCATGCAAAAATCGGCGAAAAAGGGCAGAATCGGATTTTTAACGAGCGCGGCGAGACAATGCGCGCGGGATTATATTTGCAGACAATGCGCCCCGATCCTGTTTTTCGCGTGTTGTCCATAAACGTCTGCGTCAATTAGGCATGAAAGTCAAGAGAGGAACATAATAGAGTTCGCTCTCTCGACATATTCAATTGAAATCAAGCAGCCGCGCAGCCAGTCAGTCATTCAGCCTTCACTGCTTTTCCACTCGGCTGCTTGCGAAATTATCAAAAGGGCCTGCAGACCGCGATTATGCATGCGTCCCTCCCTCCCTCCCTCCCCTACCTAAACACGGTATGGTCGTTCACGTGCCCTTTTCATTCTATATGGGCATGTTTCGCTCTCAGAGAGATTCCTAATTGAGAGAGTGCGTGGATCTCCTGAGGTGTCAACGCAGACGATGTCAATCGCTGATTTGCCATTTACGGAACGCACGCACTTTATCTCATTCAAATTTATTAGTCATTGCATGATTTTTTAATTGCTTTGTATTTAAAAATCATAAAAAGTTTATAATTCCTTCTCATGTAAATATATTTTTTTTTTTATTATTATTATTTTTGTTTTTATTTAAATTTTTTTACTTATGTATTTTTAATAAGTTTTATATTGTTTTAAATTTAATTTTCTTTGCTGTGGTTTCTTAAATACTCTAGTAGCAGAAAGTTAAATTTTTAAATTATAATTATTATGTTAGACTTGAGAGTGAAGTATTCAATTGATCTCAACAAAAGTTGTCTGAGTTACCCATCTCTCATCTCTCCTGATTGATATAAACGCGATAAATATAATTTATTAACAAATTAATTTTAAATTATCATTGAAATTTTTACCATCCTCTATCCCTTTATAAAAATATTAATTGGACTGATGAGAAAATCTCCTATTTTTGATCAAACGCTGAATTTTTTCCTAGGCTGAAACTTTAATTGAAAAAGTGCTAAGTATGTTCAATTTTAAACTGGAAACGCAAATGATCATTTTTGTCGAAATAAATTTTAAGGCGAGTTGAAAATAATAGATCCACAAGTTAATATCAAATTCTCAGATTGGAAAAAAATTAGAAATTTGTTATCAATGGTGTAAAAAATCATTAATAATTTTTGTTTTACAAATCTGGATATTTTCCAGAAATTTTTGAATAAGCATATTGCAGTTTTTCGCGAAATTTTCCACTTGAAAGTTGGCACTTCTCATTTTCAGCTCCCCCTTTCCTTATTCGCTTCACATTCTCCTGTCGTGTCACTTCTCTTATAATAATTTTTTATCGCGCGCAGTGTGCTTTTCAGCAAAAAGAGAGGGTTCCGATTATATGTATACGTGGGTATGACGTTCGCGCGCAATGCAAGCCTCGAGATATCTTGAAAAACTTCCTGCGTCTTGTTCATATGTAAACTCTCTCGCCGCGCCGCTAGTTAGTAGGAAACGGTTTTTTATGGCCGTGCAGTATTGAATTCCTCTCACAGACGCAGACTCCGCACTCAGTCGACGGAGCGCTCTTTTACATATCAACAACCCCACATTTCTTTTTCTTCCTCTCCGCATCTGCGATTGTTTGCCCATGCATTATTACACAGCAGGTTTGCTTGTATGTACTTCAAAATTAACTTCTTAAAGGAGGGAGATATTTTTTAATAATTAATAGACCTTAAATATCTTTGGTCAGCTTTTTGAATGTTTTTGAAAAAATTATTTTGAATCAAAAATTGATGGAATTATTAAATTAATTTCCAGTTTCTCAAGTGGTCGCCATCTTTGCATTGATTTAATGAGTCTGAGAAACTTTGGAGGTCAATAACTCAATCAACTTTAATCTAAAAACAATTTTCTGAAAAATGCTTGAATTCGTATATCCCAAAGCTATCTAAAGATATTAAAATATGATATAAAAAAGTAATTTTTTTTTATTTTGCTTAAGTTTCTAAGCCCTTAAATGCGCGCTAAGAGTAAGAAGAAATATTAGTATGCGATGCCATGCTTTAATTTATAATCACATGACCATCACGTCTCCACACTAGCCTGCTCAAAATACATACCGGGGATATCCTGAGTCACGTGCTCACTTGAATAAATTTTTCTTCATTTCAAGGATGATGTCCTATCTTATCACTGCTGGGAACATTTAGCTTCCCTCTCAACTTCTAGGAAGCGGAGGGAGGCCCGAGATGGTTTTTAATTAGTTTCAAGAAACTCTTTCATTTTTTTTTATAAGTGATTTTTTTACATATTGCAGTCGGGGTTAAGCGCCGGCAGTTTTGACTCACTCAACCTGGGTGTGATGTTACTGATGAAACCATCACAACCTCCTTGAGTGAGCGATTTCTGCTGTGCACGTCAACATTTATTCGGCACAGTGTTTTGCATGTGATCAGTTGGTTTTGATTGTCACATATGTTGATGTTGTTAGAATTTTTATTTTATTTCGTTGTGTATCAGTGAGGTAGTTTCTTTTGCTCCTTAAGCCTAGCAAAGTGTGTGGAAATAAAATCAAATTTTGATGAAACGGCAACTAAGAAAAAACTAAATAGCTTACAAAATGATTTATCAAAGTAACGAGATGTAATTTTGAGATCTTATTCATGTCATTTTTCACACTTTTTGTTTTAATTATCCTACAATGAAGAATTAACTTGATTTCCGCATAATTCAAAATGAGATAATTGCGTAAAGAATTATAAATTTTATTTTGTTAGAGTTGTTTAGAGCCTTAATTATTGTAAATTATTATGCTCAAACTCACTGCTTTTTCATCTGCAGTAAATAAATAATTTTTAAATTTAATTTGTCTTCCATGAATTGATTTTGACACGCAAAGGTATTAAAACAGGTTAAGAAATACAAAAAAAGCTTCCAATTTTTAGAGAAACTGGGTTCCAATAAAAACCCTGAAGGAAAAAACTGGTTAATCCTCGTTGAAAATTTTTGGGTTGTTTAAAAAAAAAACAATTTGGAGGAAAATTTTCAACGAGGATAAACCCGTTTTGTCCTTCACAATCATCTTCTCTAAAAGTTTCCACACATTTGGTTCATTTGAATCGCAATGCGCCAAAGACAAAGCACTCGTATTGTACGGACCGATCGAAAATGTCAACAGTTTCAAAATGTGTGAGAGGTGCGGCTCGCAATCAATATTAAAAATAAATGTACGTACTGCGTAGAAAACACGTTGTGTGTCTACAATACTAAGCAGTCACGAGACTGGTCGGTGCCGCAACGATTACGACGAATTTATATAAATGAATTCATGCGACACGCCAGAGTCGCTTTTAATTAGAAAACGCACCTTGGGCTTCATTTATGGCCGACGAGGTGCGAGAAGTGTTTAATCGAGACTTGCTGCACCTGCGGGGGCTGCGGCGTCAAATTAATTAATAAATGTATATGATTGGAATAATTGTAATTGCTTTACAACTCTCAAGTCGACCATAAGTTTTATTGTAACCCGTCCTGCTGAGGTTGTTGTGCGGGTTCAGATAATTATGGAATTAATAGAGTGTGAGAGTTTATTGTCTATTTGAATTAAGAGTCAACGGGAACAAGGACTCGAAACTGCGAAATGAATAATAATTAATACTTTTATGATCTATTGTAAAATGCAAATCAATATTTTATGTTGTAGCTTTTAAAATTAACTTTTATTGTTAATAACACGAGAAATTAATCAAATGTTCGTGTCTAACCCTTGACGGAAGAATTATGTTAAGAAAAAAAATAGAAATTAAAAATATATAATTATAATTAAATAGTCTTGGAAAATAAAATAAAATATCAAATTGAATGATTCAAAAGACTGTATGATTAATACTAATAGTTTGTTTTTTATATTAAAAAAAGCAGCTCACTTAATTTTACTATTAACTGCAGCCCTATTTTCATGAGAGAGAATAATATTCAAAATTTAAAAAGATAGCAATTTTAAATGTACTTAGATATTAAAAATTTCAGTATGCTATGCAAAGTTTGAAATTCAATAACTATAGTTCCTCTAAACCTGCTCCAAACTTTCACTCAATAGAAAACTTTGGTCAGATATCCTAAATGGAAAAAAATTGGTCTCTTTTTGAATTTAATAATAATTTAATTTTTATAAAATAAGAATTCAGCCAGACTACATTAGTCTCTGTACCACGGTTTTTCTCACACGTTAAAACCAAACGAATGCTGAAACGTGTGTAATTCAATAACATATTATAAGAAGAGTGCCCGCATCGCTCTGCTTTTTGTGTCACCGGCGTCACCGCAATTGCTCCAGCAGCACGACCACCATGTCGCCAAACCAAAGAAGATCTCGTCACCCTCCATCGTCTCAATTTGCAGCTCTCGATAATTTTTCTTCCAATCTCGTTGCCTTAAATGGGCATGCATGTCTCTCTCAATACCATTTTTGAAAACCAACGCTGTCACTTCACGTCATTGACCAAAGCCCGAAATAAATTGATGACGAGCAGAGAACACGCAACACTCTCGAATTGTTATAATTAAATAGGAAATGCCCAATCTATCCCGTGACGGACACGCCGTCGTCTTATTAAAACTTTTGTTATGTAGTATCTTGTTTCAGGGTCAGCACATATTATTATTTGCGATATATCTGCTTGCCCGGATAAGTAGAAAATATTTAATTTCTTGTTTGGCTCTCAATCGATAAAGATACATTTTTAAATTTTAAAAATATATTAATTTAATTCTAATTAATATTTTGCTCTTCCTTCCAGTTTGAAGACTCTTCCTAGAAAACGAGGCTTGGATTCACAAGTCCACACAGTGAGACAAGAATTGTCCTACGCTTTCAAACTGTGGCAGAAGAATTCAAAACTATCTTTTGAAGAGGTGCACGAATCAGTCCAGGCTGACATCTTGGTTGGATTTTTTGAGTAAGAAATTTTTAAGAACGATGGAAAGCCGCGAAATTTAACAAAGGGTGCCCTTTGACAAAAGGTCAAATTACTCCCATCGGCCCAATGGAACAAAGGGCACTGCCTTGTAATAATTTATATATCGGATAATATTTTATCACCCCTCTTCCTCTGACATTTCGCAGAGTGATATTATTTTTGTCCCTTGGCAGGACAAGGCACGGCGACAATTATCCTTTCGATGGTGAGGGCCAAGTATTGGCGCACGCTTTCTTCCCTGGACCGGGAATCGGCGGCGACGTCCACTTTGACGAGGCGGAAATGTGGAATTTGTACGGTGGCCCCAAAAATGATAGAGGTAAATTCAAGTTAAACAGGATTTTTTTTTTTAATTTTGATGATCCAGTCATTTGAATTGTTTACTTCATTGAATGACTAAAAGTTTTGGAGATAATTAATTTTGCTCTCTTCAATAGCTGACAATAGCACTAGGAATTCAGGTGATGGAAATATAAATTGCATTTTGCATAATTTTAATTTTATTTTAATTTTTATTTCCAAATAATTTTTTTTAATAGTCTGGCGTCTGCTAGTTTTAGACTTGTAAAAAATTTGAAGTCTTTTTAAGACCAGTAAATCATGACCCTAAGAGTGACCTCATTCACTGATATAAAAATTAAGTCATCATCATTCTGCAGATAAAAATGAACAGATTTAGTTCTCCATCGGATTTAATTGTGGACGCTTAGTTTTTAAAACCAGATGCTCTTTTTATTAGGTGCCAGTTTCTTCTTTGTCGCTGCTCATGAAATCGGCCATGCCCTTGGTTTGTCACACTCGTCGGAAAAACAGGCCCTCATGTACCCTTGGTACGTCGGCTCAAATGCCACCCCCAGCACTTACGAATTGCCCTGGGACGATAAGATCGGCATTCAGGAAATATATGGTAATTTTTTTTTATTTTAATTAAAAAAATTATCATAAATATTTTAATTTTAATTGGATTTCAGGTGTTGTGGAGAAGGACAGGTGGGGACCAATGCCAACCCCATCGTTTGGAAAAGAAACAACCAGAAGACCACCAGTCATGACAACGAGAAAACCAAGCCCCGGCAAACCAACTCAGAAGCCAGAGCATCCAGAACACCCTGTCCAGCCCAAACCTACTAAGCCGTTGAAGCCTGACACTTGTGATACTAGCTATGATGCGATTACCTACTTTAGAAATTCAGAACTATGGATCTTCAAAGGAGAGGTAAAAAACAAAATCCTCTACATGGTTTAGTGAATATTAATTGTTTTTTTTAGTACTTCTGGAGAGTCAAAGTGAGTAAAGACAATCAAGGTTCAGAGAAAGGCCTGGGTGTCTGGGAAGGTTATCCCCTGCGGATAGACTCGAGTCTTCAAAACTTTTGCCACCACACAATTAAGCACGTCGATGCAGTTTACACCAGACAAAGTGACGGTGCACTTGTTTTCTTCCAAGGTAATTCCAATTTATTTGTGAGCATTAGATTGAAATTAATGCATATAATTCAGGAAAGCAGTTCATCGTTTGTTCTGGGAGAGAAAATTCAAGAGCCGAGGTCAGACCGTTGACTTATTTGGGACTGAACGAAACCGTTGAAAAAGTGGACGCTGCGTTTGTCTGGGGACACAACGGCAAGACTTATCTTTTCAGCGGAAATTCTTACTGGAGGTATGTTTTTTTCCCAATTCAATTATTTTTATAGATTTGCTAAAATATTGACAAATTTATAGAATTGACGACGATACTGGAAAAGTTGAATTGGACTACCCGAGGGACATGAGCATGTGGAGCGGCGTGGGTTACAATATCGATGCTGCATTCAAATGGAAAGACGGTAAAAAATTTTAATACAATGAAAAAACTTTCCCTTATTAAAGATAACTATTTTTTTTTTACATATATTCTAAATAGTAAAATATAATAATAAATTTTAATTAAAAAAAAATTTGTAGGTCACATTTACTTCTTCAAGGGAAAGAGTTATTGGAAATTCAACGATATGACTATGAAAGTGGCGCATGAAAAACCAATGCTGTCAGCCCCGTTCTGGATGGGTTGTCCGAGACGGTTAGAGGAGCCACTGAATGCCAGGCAGGAACCGGTGACAGCTGCAGCTGTTTCTGTTAAGGACAAAATGTGGTTGACTTTGGCCTTGTTGTGCCTCGTTTCGAAGTTCTCGTTCCTTCCTTGAGAAGCAGAATCTCTCCACATAAAAATTGATGTGATAATCTCATCTTAATTGAAAATGGATTCAATAATTTAGGGAATAAGTGATATGTTGCAATTTTGTTGTTAAGATATTTTATATATATTTCTCCAATTTGGCCATTTTATTTAATCACCCACTTAACATTACAAGTGATATATATCTGATTTTTTAAATAATTATATATTATCTGAAAATTTAAATTTTAATCTGGTACTTTGTAAGTAGGTGAGGCCAACTTGAAATTTAAGATTGTTTAAAAAAATCTGACATGCATGTTTGATCTCACTCTGTGGAATTTTTATATACTTTGATGACTTATGAGAGAAAGGAAAGAGCGGGACACTTCGAGACTAAAAAATAATCTGTGCCAGTAAATTTATAGTAATTTATGATATTCTAACCTAAAGCATTATAATGGCATTTAAAGTGTTGGAAAAATAAAACATGATGTAAAATTTTTTCATGGCAAAGTGTAATGAGCAAGACTGCCACAAATTGAAACTACTCGACCATACTATGCATATTTCATTTAATTTTGGCTCAACAGTAATAAACTTTAATCTTTTTCAATGAAAATAAATTTTGTTTTTGCGAAACTAGACCAACTGACTGAAATAACCTTAACTTCTATTCAACGAAAAGTTGGAATTTCACCGAAGCGGTTAATTCCCTCCTATCGTATAAAAGATTTTTGGCCCAAACTCTGCACTCTACTTTGATGATAACTCCAGCTAGAAATAATCAAAATTAGTAATAGTTTAATTAATAAAATGAAAATTTTACTTTGCGGACGGACAAAGTGTACGGCAACAAGAGGGCTCAAGTATCCGGTGGTGTTGAGGAAAGGGTAGTAATATCCAGGGAAGCCCTGGTCAGGAATGTACTTGATTTTTCCAATGTGCTCTTTGTCGTCTGGCATTTCTCCCTCGCAAGTAATCCAAATCATGTTCAGCTGAAATTAAATATTAATTGTAAAAAAATCATTTGTTTGAAAAACGAATTTTGAACCTTTTCATGTTCTGTATTGCTGACTTTTGTGATATGTTCTTTGAGATCTTTCGGCATGTCCTCGGGTAGTTCGTCGCTCGAGTTGTAAAATTCGGGCACCCAGTTGAAAATCTACAGGAATAGGAAGTAATGCAAAATACGTGTTTGGCCCGCTGTTATCTCACCCTGTTCAACTTGAGGAAGACACAGGGGGCCGATTGGTTGTAGCCGTAGCCGTGCTGGGCCGTGCAAGGGTCCCACTGCGAGATGTCCACAGAGCACGAAGTGAGCGACCTGTTCTGGGGAACGCGCTCGTGGTCGCAAATTTGCCTGTGCTGACCAAGCAAGTTGTTGTAGGCTAAGTAACAAAATTTGAAAGAAAAAAAATCAATTTTAATTTAAAATTTATTAATAGAATGTCTTTTAAAGCAAAAATATGAAATTAATTAAAAAATATATGAAAAAAATAATCCAACAGGAAACGGTCTAAAAAAGCACGTTTTTCCTTATTACAGCCGATATAGCTTGTCAATAAAAGACTAAAAGCTTGATTAAAAATTACTAACGGGATGCAAAATTTTAGAGGGCTTCATTTTTTATGATGCAAAAACAAATACAAAATAAATCGTTAAGAGCCATAAACACGTATGTGCATTAAAATTTGATATCTTCATCATTTGGTCACCGACGCCTCTGTTTCAGTGTAAAAATTTGATCCAAGAACAAATAAGATCATCAATCTAACCGTCTTAACTTATTCTTTCCAATGTTATGAGAAGTCGAAATATAATTTACTATTGGATATTACTCAAAACGCATACTATTTTGAAAATAAATCATTTCCTTAAAAAAAGATATAATTAACCTCTATTTTTTTCGGTTCAATCTTACTAAATTTAAAACGCTTACATCCATAAAATTAAACATACGTTTCAGAAATTCATCCAGTTGCTTGATGTACCGCAGTTGGGTTCGGAACTTTGTGTCGACGATCAAAAGTGAAAAATGGTCCACAGTGCGGTGGCTCATTGGTCTGTACCCCAAGCCTGAATTCCATTTTTTTGGAAAAAAAGTTAGAAGTTTGAGTTAATTTTAATATAATTAGACCTGGATTGGTGCCAATCCGCGATTCGCTCAGTTCCCAACAAGGACCAACCTTTCCATATATGTTGTTGGTCAGGAAAATGTACATCAAAGACACAGCCATGCCAGCAAGGCATGAGTAGAAAATTAGGTAAAACAGGAAGATTTTGGCTGCAAACGATTATTATTATTATTTGTAAAAAAGTTTGATCAATTTAACATACCCCAACTTGAAGGTGTCCTGGTCAAAATCGCGCCCTTTTTGGGGTCGTAAATGAACTCGCCTATTTTTTCACACGCGGTTTGGTCTTCCGGCTTGACAAAGTGCATGCCTGCCGCCGGCTGCATTTTGTCAGCTCCATTTTTCTCATTTTCGAATCTCCTTTTGCAGACGGGGGCAGACATTATTTTTTTGCACCTGGTCCTACCGAATTGTCAGCGACGACTGGCAAAGTTAATTTGTGAAAGCCCACTTTTGAGGCAAAATTAGCGTTGGCCGCAGTGGGTGCCCGTGTTAGAGATTACGATAATCGAGCGCACGAGTTTATGCACTTTGCGTAACTCACGTCAGAATAAGGAGAAAGACACAGAGGCTATTATAATTGACCTGTTAATTCGCTTTGTTTGATTATTGTACTTTATTTTTATTTTATTTTTTTATATTGATTATACTGATCAGAATAATTAAAAAAAATAATCAATTTCATATAATAATAAATAATAAATCAATATATGTAATGATAAATAATTGTAACAAAAAATAAAAATAAATTTTAATATTTGTCTATTACTTAATTTTAATTTATTATAAATATTTATTCTTTTACAAGTAACTTTGCTAAAAAAGCCAAAACTTGTTTATTAGTTTTTATAAACTAATTTTTCCTCGATAAAGTATAGTTCATAATACATTAATTATTATATATTTATAAATTTTAATTTTTATTATATTTGATCTAAATTAGTCATTTTCATTTAAAATACATTTATCATTTTACCAACTAAAATTTCATTATATCGTTGCTTCATTTGAATTAAAAATTCTACTCGACGCCCTTGATGGAACTAAAAAACGACTTTGGTGCTTTTCAGGATGCATAAATTTTCTCCATCTTTCTCTTTCTCCTACTCCCCTTTGCCGCCACACTCAACGTTGCCCTAAGGAGAGCCAGGAGAGGGCACGTTTGGTCATGTTAGGAACAGGGAAGGAGGGGAGGAATTTTGCATCGCCAATCCAGTCTGAACAAAAACAAACGTGCGTAATATGCTCAGTAGTTTTTTTTGTACATTTGTGAGTGGACACAACTTTATTTCGGTTGATCCTGGAGTTCGTGGAAAAGAGAGCTTTCGAATCGCTTTTTATCAAGATGACAATGTGTTAGTGTAATTACTGTAATTACAGAATAACTCCCATAACTTCCATTAACATGACGTGACACGTGTTTGTGTGTTGATTTGCAAAATTGGATTCCTCGTGGCCTCGAGTGCTCATCAAGGATGTGGTTGAGATGTCGCTTCACTATTTCACTTCACGGATCCTTGGTGAGTACAGCAGAAATACCTTAATTATCAATCATGAATATCGAAAGAATTTATGCATTAATTTATCATTAAGGAGAATTTTGAGGAAATAATTCCAATTTTTCCCACTGATTGCGTGATTTGCGATCAAAATAATTTTAGGATTTTCATACTTTAAAATTTTTTAATCTTCGATATCAAACTTTACGTTATAAATTCAATAAAAATTTATCTCCTGAAAAAATCATGGAAAAATCAGCGACTTTTTTTACACCTATTTTTGTACAATAGAAAAGGACTTTCCTAATTTGGAACTCCATTTTGCAATAAAAACGTGGACAAGAATTTTTCTTACTAAAAATCTGGGATATTTTTATTATTATCTGTTTCATACATCTTTTCATACATTATGGGCACAAATAATTAAAATACACGTCAGCATTAATTAAAATAACTCATCAATAATTTACACATCTCTGGCCAAAATTCAAAGAGCCTGTGCGTGCCAAGAGCAGATTCTTTACGTTTTTCACAAATGATGCAACAACAGCGAGGACAAAACACACAAGAGCCTACGTGGAACAAATTAATTATGGATTCAGCTGCTTAATTAATTAAAATTGCAACAAATAATGTCATTTTTTTCCTTCTTAGAATTCGCATTTATGTATAATATCAACTTCGGCAAAATTTCACAAAATATGCATTCGGGCCAGTCGGCAGCACGCTTTGATAGTTTGTATAATTTTTTTTTTAAACTCCTCGAACGCAGCTCGAGAAGTGAGAAGTAGATTTAAATAGAGACACATGCAAAATTGCAAAGTTGCAGAACTGTTGAAAGTTGACCCCGGCTCTATAGATTCGGTGGTTGGTGCTGATTTTAGATTTAATTTGCGCGATGATTGAAAATTGTTAAGAGAGTTTTCTTCTTCTTTTCGCTGGATTTACTTCAGGACTAGTCAATCATGAGTTCGAAGTGGACTGAGCCGAGACGATCGGTGCGGTCGTGCTTGATGTTCTTGGCCCAAGCCTTGCACTCGATGTTAATCAGCACTCCAGCTAAAATGAAAAAAAAATCACATTAATAATCTATTTCTTGGACATCAAATTTTTAATCAAAATAACTGTTAGGAAGTTTCAATTGCTGCCATAAAAACTTTTAAATAGTGATTTATAAAATACAATTTTAGAAATTAGAAACATACTTTTGAGGTTAGACAGAAAAAAATTGATTTTTTGAGAGAGAAATAATTTATATGCTGATGATATACGAGAAATATCAAAAGGTGGGTTAAAAGGAAGTTGTTTGATGAAATCGTTGCACTGGCCGGAAAAGTGGTAGTTTTGGGACGATGCCAAAATTTCATCAAAAGTGAGTACACGGAAAACCTAACCCTTCCATTTTTATGTAATATTTGAATATTTTTCTTTCCTTTTAGCAAAATTGCTTTTCATTTTTTTGCTAATGATTGATTTCCTAATGGAAAGCAACAAATAATTTACGTTGTTCAACGTTAACATTATTTTCAATCTTTAAATAATTTTAAGACCTCTAATATAAAACACAAATTTTGAACTTAAAATGATATTTGAGAGTTAAATATTATTTAAAAAAGGACTTTGTACAGTGAATGTTCCTATCCCAAGGCAATTGAATAAAATTTTGATTTTTTACAAATCATACTTAATAAAATTTAGATAAATGTGGATAAAATTTAAAAAAAAAAAAATTAAGTAGAAAGACTAGAAGTACTTGAAGGCATTTATTTAGAGAATACTTTATGAGCCTCTAAATTTTTTAGTTCAATTTAGGCCTAAAAAGTTTTAAAACTTTTTTTTATAATCTGCACAGCATATCAGACCCTTAACTTTATAAGACTACATTATTTGCGAAATTAAATCCTTCATAAGTTGTATAAAATTACAGGCATTACTTTCTTAACTGGTGAATTAAGTTGATGTTTGTTTCAAATTTTAATAAAAAATCCCAAAAATTTCTAAAACATTTTTAAACTTCCGTAAAAGTATATTGTTCTTACTTCTAGGGGCGGCAAAGTGAACCGCCACCAGGGGGCTGAGGTAGCCCTCTGAGTTCTCATAGGGGTAGAAGTATCCGGGGAAGCCCCACTTGGGGAAGTACTCGACGGGGCCAATGTTTTCAACGTCGGCAGGGTTTTCTCCCTCGCAGCTCACCCACACAGTGTTGAGCTGAATAAAAAGTCGGATGAGTTAAATTTTACAAAATGAAATGATCGACTCACCTCCTTGGTAGGGACGCCGCGGATGTGCTCCTGCAGTTTGGCGGGCATGCCCTTGGGCAAGGCGCCGGTGTCGTTGAAGTAGTCGGGCACCCAGTCGTAGATCTGCGAGTAAAAAGTCATCATAATTATGTCATAAAAACTTGTCTGGAATTATTTTACCTTGTTCAGTTTGAGGAAGATGCAGGGAGAGCCCTTGTGGTAGTCGTAGTTGTTTTCGGTGTTGCACGGGTACCAGTTCTTCACGTCCACCTCGCACACCTGTCCGGGCTTGGGTGGGTTGTCGTAGTCGCAGTTGTGGATGTTCTGGCCACGGCCGGGGGTCAGACCAGGCCTGCGGTACACTGAAAGTACATTAAATTCAAATTAAATCAATATTATTCAACAGATTAAAATTCAAAAATAAAAATTTATAGAAAAGCAGTCAAGCACTTGTTAAAAATTAAAAACATGAATTATAGTAATCAATATAATAAATGTGAAATTAAGGCCATTTTGGAATCAAGTGAGTGGTTTTTCGTTTTATCCAAAAGAGAATTTAAATGGATATTATTTAGATATAATTTTAATTTTGTTATATTATATAGTCATGCTTGTATATTATATTTTATTTTTCTAGCTTTCATCAATTTTATTAATGACAAATATCTCTGGGAGATTGAAGATGAGATTTCTTTGCAAAAGAATTGATTTTGATCTTAAAATTGACCTCCCAAGCAAAAGCAATTGTAATTTTTCTGTATATTTAATGTTGCTCTCAATTCTCAAATATTCTTTTAATCCTCTAGGTAACCTAATAATTGAATAAAATAGAATTATTCTTTTAAATAATAATTAATAATAAATGAATTTTATAAATAATGAAATAAAAAATTTAATGCTTTGAATCAACATAAATATGAAAATAAATTTATTTAAAAATTTCTATTTTATATTTTGGTGTAAAATAAAAATATTTAACTTGAAAAACAGTAATTTTTGTTGACCATTTAAAAATATGAAGTGCTAAACCGCATTTTAATATAACAATCTTGCTAACCACGAAGAATTTTTTTGCTATTTATTTAAATCTTTCACACGCAGATAATAATAATTTTTGTTCCACCCAGTGTATTGATAAACAAGCGATCAGCAATCGACCACGTGCGTAAATGTAATGAGTTGCAAGGTGCACTTCTGGTGACGCAAGATCATCCAGCTCTCTCTTCTGAAGGTTGCGCGCGTCGAGAAAAGACACCGAGAGTGTCACTCGGTGCTCAACCGGCGTCGGCTAACTCACAATTTCTCGCAACTCTGATTGTACAACTAACTGAGCATTGTTTACAACTCACTCGATAGACGGTGGGGGAAAAACTAATGAGAGCGTAAAGTATTGAACGATTCTGCAAAAAAGCCCTGTTCAATGAATTGACTGGCTCAATTGGATGAAAATTACCACAAAATTTGAGGGCAAGAGTAGTCCTCATTTAGATAGAATCTGATAAAAATTGTAATTCAAAAATAATGTGGCATTAATTCGTCCAATATAAATGGGAACAATAGTTTTATCTTTTTTTCCTTCCGATTTTCTTTTAATTTTTTAAAGTCTGATAAAAAATGTATAATAAATGTCTATATAAATAGAAAAAAAGAATATTTATAATATTTTGAATGCAATTCATTAAGAGTTTATATTGTTTTGTAGAAATTTCGCTGAGTTTAAAAAATTCTTAAAAATTTTATGCAATTTTTTTACAAAGTTAAAAATATTTAAGAAAAATTGTAAAAAATAATGTTAGGATAAAAATTTACCATCAAGGAATTTGTCGAGCTGCTTGGTCCAGGGCCCGTAGTTATCGGGGTGGGAGCCGGTGTACCAAATCAGAGAGCTGTCCAGGTTGGGCTCCTCTGGCATTGGTCTGTATCCAAGACCTGACCAAGGGTTAAATTTTTTTTTATTTATAATTTTATGACTATTTTGTAATATTCTACCAGGGTTGGTTCCAATCAGGGACTCCTCCAGTCTCCAACGGGGGATCCTAGGATCCAAAGTTTGGAAGAAAACCAACAGCATGGCGGCGAACATGGCGGCCAGGATTCCATAGAAGATCAGGTAGAAAATGCCAATTTTGACTGTGAACAGAAATGGAGATAATTAAAATTATTTAGTGCGACGGGGCGAAGTTAAAGTCTTTATTCAATCATCATAATGTTTTCATTTTCATTTGAATCTGAAGTTGAAGATTAATTTTAATTCAATCTTTAAATAGTTAACAATCTTTTTATTTTTATCTCTTATATTTTTGGCGATGCAATAGAGAGTGACAGGAATTTGAAACTTTGATAATGGCTTTAGTGAACACTAAAATTAGCTCAGAATGTTTTGATTGTTGCTTAACTTTAAATTGTTTCTCTTCATTTTAACAATGTGAAAATTACACAGAAAACAATTCAAAATTTTTTGCATCAATTTCTGAAATGATTTTCCTGATAGTATAAAATATGAAGTGGTTTTGTTTAATTAAAACACAATGTCAACGCTTCAAACAAGCATATCAGAGCATTCCCTTGTGTTTGTTTGTTAATTAAAAAAAGAGATTAATATTATCAAAAATGAATTTTTGTACCTTGTACAAATTAATACGTGACAAATCCTTCTGCACATTGTCTCGAAAAGTGACTGATAATTGATCGATGATCAAAGCAAGGGTCCTCCTTAATCGAGGCCACCTAAGTAAGTGAAGTTTGCTCTCTTTAGAATAACTTTCTACGGCTCACGTGCAATTTTGATGTCGGACCGAGAAACCCACATCCGCCGCAATTAGTGTTTTCATTATCGATTTCACAATCGGAGAAAAAAATCCGTCCTGATTGTTTGTTTTTCGTTATAAAAAATTCAAAGCTTAATTTCCACGCGGGTGGTTTTTCATTTCACGTTCGGAGTGGTTCGGGGCAAAAAAAAAGTGGAAAATCCATGCAGAGTAAACGAGCTGGGCTAATTACAAACAAGGCGGAAATTGATTTTGGCCGCGAGCTTTAAATCGCCGCGACGTGTTGTTTTTAGCCGGGCGCCGAATGATAAATATCGCCTTTTCAAACACGCGCCAGCCACGGGCGCGAAAGAACAGGGACAAAAAAGCTAAGCGAGCGCGAGAGGGCATGGAACGGCAGGCCGCTCGAAAAGCTGCAATGCGCCAACCGAATTGCAGCCGAATTCGGGCCGGCAGCGAAACGCTGAGCTGCGGAGCTGCTGCTGGATCCCGAGCCAAGTACGAATACGTACCCCTCGCGAAAGGCGGCACCGAGTCGTGGTGCGGGAGCTAAAAAGCAAAGTCAGGGGTCATCGTCGTATGCGAGATGGAAAGTTGCTTGGAAATCAACTTGCGGGCGATGCTCATTTTAAATTCTAATGCTCGCCGACTTCTTGTGGAGAACCTGAGGCGTTAGAGATGGAAAGACACAAACACACATCAAAGGAACCATAAACTTGTAGCTGAAGATGCTTTATGGTCTCTCTCCAAGATAAGGGAGGCTCAAAACTTTCCCAAGGGACCAAAGTATTACTTTCTATCCCGAACTCCAATTTTTGTATAAAAGTTTTAAATAGGGATCTTTATGGAAATTTATGTGGAAATATTAATTTCCGTGCAAACTTTCTTATGATATTTTCCTTAAGTTTTGTCCAAGTATCAAGTGAATTTAAAAATTAATAAAAACGGCAGAAAGGAAATCGCAACGAGCAAACGATACTGTAGAGATAGATTATTTTTGTTTTTAATCTTAGAAAAAAACAGTGATTACAGCTTGCAAGCTGCAATATTTTACTCTGCCTACAAAATATTTAGAAAAAAATCATTAGTTATGTCTACAATTTTAGAATTTTTATCAAGTTTGTTTGATTTTTATTTTTTAACACTTTAACAATAATTTGTAGACGTCTAATCTGTATTTAGACACATTTATTCCTCGATAAAATTAAAAAATAAATAGAGACGGAATTTTAGCACGAATTTCTTAAACAATGGTCACCAAAAACTTGTCGAGGTTTTAATACTATTCAAAACTTCTGTTAAGTTCATATAACTGAGTAAACTGTGAACCTTAAAGGTAACATGGAACAAAAACATTTTGCAACCTTTTTTCCTTGAAGTCAAACGGGTTTCATAAAGCAGCGCATCATTAGAATGACTCCAACCTTTAGTTCAACGCCCATCGATTGAAAGTTCAAGAGTTCATAATTAACTATTGTTGGAACTGTAGATTCAAATTGTCCTAATTTTTTATGGTGACGTGACAATGAAGATGCAAATCTTCTTAATGGAAACGCCCAATAGTCAAAAAGCAATTTATTTAGCACGTCGTCAGCAAATTTACGGTGATAATTTTTGTTTATATTTGCTATTAGCTTATTGCGTACTTAAAATTCTCGGTAGCAGGTCAAATAAAGGACAATTAAAAAAAAATTGTATCTGCAAATATAGACCAGAGACTAAATTTTTGATTGCAAGTTTCATAATCTTCATTTATTTTGCAAAAAAATTGATATTATTTATTTCAATTAAAAAAATACGAACTTCCGCTAGCTTCTGTCCTGAATTGATTTATAAATATAATTTTATACAATTCAACGAAAGGAGCACAATTTTTGCCGCATGAAGCTTCTAGTTTATTCAACAGGCGAGATTTATCGCAAACCATTAGACACACCTAGACAATTACAGCCTTCCGTGCTGCCAGAAAAAAACGTCGATCACGATTTTATTTTCGTTTTTGTAGCGTGGCTGCGGAGACTTGTTGAGAAAATAATAAAAACGTGTGGGGGTCCGACGTGAATTGGAATGATTTTACAACCGAGCCGCGGTATAGAAATTCCGGGTCGCGTTCGTCGGTTCGCATGCGAGAGCTAAAAAGCAAGCCGGTTGTTCTCCGAGTTTTTTGTTTGCCTTCGGCCTGATGAGTGACAGTCGTCAGGCGCCCAAGTCGCGCCGACTGATATACGCGCAGAAAGGAAATAATAAATACATTCACCGGTACAGGCAGGCATTTCAAGTACGAACGGGAACACAATAAGGGAGTGAAAATTATTTTCAGGTGCTTTTGTTTGGCGGAAAATGCAAATGTTTTTAAACTGACAGACTGACAGTCCATCAGTCTTTATCTTTCTAAAAGCTTTCAAAACTAAAAAATATGCGAGTTTCCTGATGGTTTCCTAGAAAAATATGACGTGGATAAATTTTAATTTTTAATGTATTCATTGGTAAATCATGAACCAGAATTTTCCTTATTATATTGATGGTTTTTTAAAATAAACTTCTTGACAGGTTTTGTATTTTTTGTTCGGCTAATTTTTAATTTCAATTTTAATTATATCTTCTCTCACAAAAAAAGGACTGCAGATTGTAGCCAGAACTGTTGGAGATGTTAAAAAAAAATCATTCCAACATTCAATAAGGAAAAGACCGGTTCATCATCTTACCATGATTTAGCTTTAAATTGGAATTTAAAAAAAAAACATTCCTTTTTTATTTGGTGAATTTCTTCTAATTTACTTTACAGGAACTTAATTTAACATCCAATTTTCTCTTCTTAATCAAGCTTTATATTTTAAGATTTCTTAATTTAAAGATTTGAAGTTAAAAGTTTAGTTCAAATTTTATATTTCAAAAATATACATTTTTTTTTAATTAAAAAAATTGTAAACTGTCTTTCTTGACAATATGAACAAATTTTAAACTAATTTAACTTATATTATAATAAAATTTAATTTTAATTGGTTCAAAGCAAAGTAAAGTGATATTATAGAAGCTTGTGGGAGAATTGCATCCGTAGAGGGATTGTTTGACAATATCTCGGCCTGTTGCAAATCTAATCGAGTGTCACCGCTTGTGCATATAAACCCTTGCGCAAATTTGTCCCGTCGGTGCACACCGGTTCACATCCCTAGCAGCTCCATTACTTGATTATTTAACCAAGCGTGCATGCATTCGCCAGCACATAAATTATTGCGCACACCTGAATGTGTTGTTTGTTTAGAAGAAGGAGAAGGAGAGATTGAGTAGCTCTATAAAGTGCCCTGTTGGTTGCATGACCCGCGGCCTTGGAAGGAGCGGAATGAGGTCACTTCGCCATCCTCGGAGGATTTTATGCCCGACGAACCAAGCAACAGTTCAGGCCACCGCGAGTTGCATTTTAATTTGGGTTCGGCACAACAAGGGCTGCTCATTGGGAAAGTTAATCAATTGTGCTGTAGCCAAAACTTGGCAGCGCTGCCATTTTTCAAATTGGTATTCACGGCGGAGGATGAGGTGTTGGTCAACTACAAACGTGAATCTAGTGTTTAATAAAATTAACAGACTATTAACCTATCATAATATAATAGTAAAATATATTTTTAATTTGTTTCTATTTTAATTTTTAAGAATAAATAAATCATTATATTTAATTTTGAATCTAAATTTAATTGTATAAAAACAAAAAAATGTCTATATCAAATGAATAGTTAAATTTGTGTTCATTCCTGATTATTTAAATATAAAATATAATAAATTTTTGCTTTTTATAAAACTATTCTTAGCAAAGTTTAAAGCTAAGAATTATTGAACAAATTCGACTTTCTCGGATTATTGTGATGGTTATTCAAATTATTTATTCTCATCTTTAATGCAAAAATGATTAAACAATTAAGTTTGGAGCGAGACCTTATCTCGGAATACAACTTGCTTCTCGCTTGCTATGAATAGAGGATAATGCGCAGGAAATTAATCTTGGGTCCAAGACATTAATCACAATAATCTGCATATCTGATAGGCGCTGTCATCGGTTGATTGAAAGATTTAATTTCGTCTCAATGTCTTTTCTTAATAATTTCTTTTTATCAGGTACTTAAAAATCAATAAAATTTAATCTCCGCGTCAAAATTGTGATAATTTAAAAAAGGGTGTTTAATGCAGACTTTGAATAAGCCAGAGATTATTCCCGATTGACCTTGGCGGAAGCTGCAAAGTGAACTCTGAGGCCGGTTTTTCCTCCGGAGCCTGTTTCGGCTCGAGGAAAGAATGAGACAATAATAAAATCCTTCCCGACGACTGGTTTTGACGATGCGGTCGTTTTTTGAGATGCTGCGCTGGACCGGC